AGAGATACTGTGTAATATACTGGATAGTTCTGACAAAATTGAATCACAAGACATCCAAATATACTCTGTATATTGCATTATGATCGAATTATGCCGTACTTGAACAAACTCGCCTTGTGTAACTTTTTTAACAGCTATTTCTATATCTCTCGTGGTTGCAGAGCTCTCCAATTACTGACTGGCCTGCATTACTGATACAGCTAGCATCATTTCGTCGCCAGGGCGTTTGAAGTACAAAGACACCAAGCACAGGATGAAGGCCCTTGGGTTCCTCGTGGTGTCCCTCCTCCTGTTAGCGCTTGTGCACGTGGCTTATACTATCGCAGACTCGCATCTGAATTCACCCAAGGATGAGGTTCCCGTCGATAAGGATAATACAGATGCAGGCAGTGAAGAAAAAGGAGGAGTGTTCGATGAGGTATCCGAACTGGATGAACTATCACTGGCACACTCTAGGAGGAAGGATCTAAGAGACTTCGATTCCGACAGGTAAGGTTTGAATAATTGTACATGGCAAAATGGATGAAAAGTTACACCTTAAATAGAAGATATTCCCCTTCAATATAACAATCTCGGAGATGAAGATAAAGCAGCTTTGCCATATTAAATGTTATGACATTGACACTTCGTGGAAATTAAACTCCATTATAAATGATCAAACATCACGCAAACATAAATAGCGTTGGATTTCTTCATTGTTACAGTCGTGACCGAGAAGAGCCACAATCTTACCATACTATATCATATACCCCTCCACTGTCAACGGGAAGTTTTAAATCGATAGCATACCAAAGCCTGTTAATGCCTGGATCTTAACTTTGTTCTTTAAATACAATAGTTCGAAAATCTCCGACTTTGAGTTTTTTTAAAAATCACCGAGTGATTCAAGAGGAGACTACAGGTTTCCAAATTTATGGAGGGGAGTGTACGTGTATATTATATGTTTATACTTTATGTTTCTGTTTCAACATTAAACAAAGAAGTACATTTAACTTTTATCAATAAATTGATGAAAATGACAGCACACAATGCCACACTTGGGGTATTACCGATTGGTATTGGTATTATCGATTGGAATTGGTATTATCGATTCCTCAACCTAATCATCAACCATTGGGAAGATTTCTTCATTAACAGAACATTGTATCATTAATATAGTAAAATTCAATTTTTTCACCACGATATAAATCACCATCATCAACTTGATCGCGCCTTTAAATTATAGAATCGGGATACTGGCACTTTAAGGAAAATCACTAGAATATTTTATTTATGAGTATGGTGTGTGATTTAAAGTGTCATGGGGTGATTATTTTTAATTTTTGTGAAACGCAGTGACATTGACTTCGTCTTTAACCATCCTTAACATGGCCTTTATTAGAATCAAGATGGCTAAATGTGATGGAAGCCAATTACAGTCCAACTGAATAATTTCATATTCCTGACGTCGAGTGGCTCTCCATCCGTTTCTCTTAGTTTAATTGACACTAAGTGAAGGTGACCTTTACGTGACATCATGATGACCCAGTCCCCAAAGTGATCGTTATTTCAGAGATAATTCTTCCACAATTGTCAAAATGAGTAATTTTAGACTCATTGACATTGCCGTGCAAAACAAAATCCAGGGATTATCCATACCAGGGATTTTTATGTTTTAGAAGCCATGTAGACTCTATGCAATAATCCAAAATTAATTTCCTTCCAGCGTGTTGACCGAAACGAGATCTGACATTCTTCTGGTCGACCCAGTGTCGGCACTGAGCAGAAAGCGAACTCACAGGCATATAAAAGGTAAATATCTTTTCTGACGGATTATCTCGGGTATTCATGATCTCTATTTATTCCTAATAAAACCACAAGCAATAATGGCTACTACTAGGGTCATCTTGATCCATCAATTGCAAGGTATTACACATGACTAAAGAAATACACTGGTTTAACAAAACGAGAGACGTTACAACTATAGAGCTGACCAAGCTGAGAGACATATTTTCATATTTATAACTTGTATTTCTCATTATTTATAATTTCTCAATTTTCCGAATTTCGTCCTGATGAATGAATGAATGAATTTCATCCATTGATGTTCCTCAGAATCTGAACCCTATATACAGGGTGACACAAAAAGCAAACCTATAATTTTGGAATAACTTTCTCAGAAGGAATTGTTACCTTCATGAATTTACCAATGTCGACCAGAGAAGTAATCGTGTCATTATCACAAGTAGTAATCAAATAGCATCTTCTTGCAAAATCCGAACGATCCGGGTAAAAATCACACAAAGGTTGGTCATAAAACTGCATCTAAATCACAATTTACTATACACAATTAACCTATTTGTTTATGATCTAATAAGTCGAATCACATATTTACCTACCCTTTTCACCGGGATCCATGGCTGACGTCAGCTTACCCCAAGCTTCGTCATAAACTGCCACACAGTTGAAGCAGATTCATGACGAACAACCTAGACGTATCCTAACAAACACAGATGCTAGCTGATTATGCTAACAAGAATAGGCTAGGTCGATGAACTAACACGAAAGAGCATTTGTTTTCAAAAATATTTCCAAGACTCACGACTTTTTACCGGAATGTGTGGATTTTGCAGGAGAGTGCTGTTTGATGACTACCTGTGATTATACATGTACTTTAGTAGTATACAAGGTTATTCCATAATGTAGTCAGATAGCTTTTTTATTGATGGCAAAGAAAAAACGCGAATTTCGAAAATAGCTTTTTGAACGGTTTGATATATTCCACTTCAATATGTATGAATGTTGGAAGTTTTGATTTGTAACATTCTACTTAAAATGCATGGAACATTTTATTTTTTTTAGGTCAAAACGTCCAAAATCGATGAAATCTACACTCCTTGCTGAGCAATAACTGACAGAATGATTTAGATATTTTTATCAATGTAGATAACTGATGAATGGCAGGATTTATCAGAATCAATGCATGCAGACAAATTCGAAGATAATAGCATTCATCCGTTCATAGAATTGTGTGATTAAAACTACAATGTTACATCACCGATTGCATTTTACAGCTCAATATGTGAAATCTGCAGATAGATTAACACCCCAGTCACATTTGTCGTACGACGGCCGTAAGTCGATCGCAGATCAATTAAATCAGTGAATTTCTGCGGCGAGCGTAGGAAAACTACGGTCGCCTTGCGGTATTTGTACGGCGTATGCATATTTTTACAGGCCGCAGGGAAGTCGTGGAAATTATAACTCGGAGTTATAATTATTTTTTCATTTCTGCGGTCCCCATAGAAATCAACAAGTCGTAGCCAGACCGCAGAAAGGTTCCACGGCGGCCGCACGTCGGGCTACGGTCGACATGCGTCTGCCGTGGGGTTTTGATAGGTAATATACCTTTGGAAACAGGTTTCAGATCATATTCTCTGTCATTTGCTGTGAAAAAGCTCGCAAGACGATTGACTCGATTTCCTGGAAGATCCAGCTCGGTTCTCATCCACATATCCACAAATCACATATCATATATGATCTCATATTCATTTTGGAAGTGTCTGAAGTGAACATTGCAATTTTGGACAATTTCATTTCAATTTTATTATGATCTACTTTACTGTACACATTCGGCTTTCAAATTTCCATCCACTCTGCCTAGCCTCCTTCAGTTTCACGCGGTGCCAACTACGACCGTTAGTTTGAATTTGAGACCTACCCCATGTTTGAAAATCAAGGATTGTGAGTCTGATACTGCACTGTTTTACATCAAACTTGTTCCATTAAAAGCCGAATGCCCATGCAGTGTCTTGGAATATGTTGAAGACAATATAATATCATATGACAGAGTATAACAGAGTTATGTACCAACAGAAAGGCATTTTTGTTTTGCTTTGAATGGAACAAGTTTGAAGAAAAATGGTGCAGTATGAGACTCACACGTTGCATCTGCTTTTGTATCCGGAAAAAACTACGCCCTCCGTAGGAAGACCGCACGGCGACCGTGATTCACCACTTAAAAGGTCGCACGGCAACCGTAGTTTTTATATCAACAAAATTCGCCGTGCGGTTGCCGTAGGAAATGTGACTGCAAAAGTATGTGACCGCAGAAATTCTACAGCGAGCGTAGAAATGTTACTGACCGCAGAAATGATAGACCGCACAGCGGCCGTAGGAAATGTGACTGGGGTGTAACTTTTAACATTTTAAGCTAAACCGAACGAAAAAGACCAGTCAGTCAATACTACAAATGCAAAACTCCCGCATATTTCATTGTTCATGTGAAAGAATTAGATATGAAATAGGCATATTGAATGAGTTATGAGGTGACTAAAATCAAACGTACATTTTTGGACCACCCTGTGCATAACTGCTTCAGGCATTGGACAAATTCGTTTCATGATTAGGACATTGTTGTCTCCCTATAATATGAAAAAGGCATTGGCATGAATTCGATACTTTAAGAAATTGCTTCGTTAATGCAGCACGACAAAATTATCATTTGTCAGCCCCTTAATAAATGATATACACTTATACAGGGTGGCCCAAAATGAGTACACCTTTATGACCTTTCTCTTTATTTCATCAAACATTACTTGTCTATGATATACCACTTCATCGGTTCATAGAGACTTTTAAAATTCCCCATGACAAAATGATGAATGTTATGAAAATTTGATCATGGATCGGAGGTACTTTCACCAATGAACCACAAGGTTGCAGAGGAAGACCCAATATTATATGTAGCTATAAGAAAGTACGTAAATTATTGTAAAACAAGGAATATAACTAACCTCATATACCTTATCTCGATGGACCCCATTGTCATTACAACTTCATCTACTGGAATGCCTTTAATGCTTTTAGCTTTCAGGATGAACAACTGAAGGCTGACTATGCATAATGCGATAAACTGACAGCGAGTATTTGAACGCTGAAAGGCAAATCGATGCTATTCATTCGATTCCGTTAATTATGTCAAATTGTCTTGTATTTGTTGCAGGTTTATTGTTTCTGAGTGTGTCATTCTGAGAACTATACCAAAACGCATAAGAGATACTTTCAAATAATATGCTTAAGATATATATGTAGGGTTTCGTGACAGGCCTAACCTCATTATACTATCTTGTATAAATGTTGCTCCTCCTGCCATCTTTTGGGCCTTGTTCAAATCAAATGGGAATCTGCTTTAGATGGGATCTCAATAACTATACAGTATAATCCAAAATGCCCTGAAACATGACATGGTATATCTAGAATTCGCCTTAACCTACCAAAGTCAATTTCTCATGGCATCAAAGTATACCGTGATTTAAAGGATATCTTTGTAAGTCCATCATCATAGTTAAAGTATCTCATATCATGTGTCTGTCATAGTTTGTACATTCATCAACATTTCCTTGATATTCACGATCTGTCATTTTGTGTTTGTGTGCAGGCCACCATCACCACCGACACCACCATGGGCTTAAAGATATCCAGAAAGATCGTTGGCAGGCGGAGGAGATTCAACAAGGAGACTCAAAGCAAGATAATTCAGTAAGTAATTCTTATGTTATTAATTTCGATATTGAAAATAATTGCAAATGTGACATAGTTGCGCTTTCCCCATTCTCTCTCAAACTCTTACTGAACAAATAGTGGGGAGTTTGGGGGTGGGAAGGCAGAGCACTATTAGATCCTGACTTTTCTTCCAGTGTTATTCTGATCTTCAGATCAACACAATCTTACGTGCCATCTATAATACTTCAAACATGATATACGACATATCTAACACTAGTACAACATGGCTCAAGTTGTGAGTTGTGGTGACCGATGCCACCTATTTCAAAATTATAGTCATCTTTCAATTAACCCCGCACAATTTCCTATACATATAAATGGAGATAAAATCATTTGGACCTTAGGGAAATGGAGTTAAAGACCAAACCACTATATTCAATTGGAATTTGCTTGTTAGTTAATCATTCATGTCATGATTATGTTTTACAGCATGATAAGGAAACAACCGATGATGATCGGCTCATAAAGCCGGAAGATATAATGATGGGTGACCAGCCTGTCATAGATGATCTCGATGTGGCCACAGACGTGGACGAGGACGCAAACGTTGAACAGATAGAGATCTCGGACAAAAAGGCACAACGTAAAATGAAAAGGAAAAATGAAAAGAAAGAAATGAGGAAAAAGAAAAAAGAAGAAAAGAAAATTGCGAAGCAAGGGATGAAAGCACAGAATAAGGAAGCTAAAAAAGAACGGAAAGCCAAAAGAAAAGAAGAAAAGAAGGATAAACGAAAAGAAGCAAAGATTGATATGAAAGAACAACGCAAAGCTCAAAGAAAAGAAGACAAAACTGAAAAGAATGACGAAAAGCTTGACACTAAAAAGGAAAACAGAGAGAGAAAAAAAGAACAACGCAAAGCAGATCGCAAAGCTTCAAAGCAAAACGCTAAAAATAAACGCAAAGAGGAAAAGGCAATAAAGAAAGAAGAAAAGAAAGCACAGAGAGAATCTAAACGTCGTGAAAAGAAAATGCAAAGGAAACAGGAAAAACTTGCCAGTTTGATCGTTTGTGAAACTGATGCGGATTGTAATGCAGGTATATTTTATTTCATGTTGTCGTGAATTAAAGTAATGTCATATTAAGAGCAAAACCAATAAAATACAACCCCGTCCATCCAGCTGTTGGCCTTGCCCAGAGTTGAAGCCTTGTATCAATATAGTAAAACCGTTTCCCTCAACTTATAGCACGTCTGAATTACAATTTGAAAATTGGGAACAAAAAAGGTTTGTATCCGTGTTGATCCGAAGCATCAATTTGGTTGCAAGATCAAATCCAAAGCCCTATATTACACGTCGCACGAAAAATTATGGCGTCAAAACAATGAGCAGTACAGTATAGAGCGCAAACAGCTATGGTTTGCCAACCTGCCCATTGTATACACTCGTTGTTTACGGGTATGTAGGCGTTAATTACGCCAGTGGCCTGAAGAATTCACTTCTTCATGGGTATAATTTACACCTACACAGGCGTAATTTTACGTCTGCACGGGCGTAATTTTACATCTGCACGAGTTAATTAACGCCTACACATCCGTAAACAACGCGTGCAAACAATGGGCAGGTTGGCTAACCATATATATAGCGTCAAAAACGACGAGCGTTACATTTTGTCAAGTTTAGTCAACTTAATATAAAATACTTTATCCTTACTCAATCCTGATAAAATTCACAGAGTAGCAAGATCTCGCAAACAATATTTCTAAAATGTATTCGAATTTTGAAAAAACGGTCAGAAAATTTACTCGAAGAGTTAGTTGAAATTGATATGCATGGAATTCGAGGTAAAAATGGATGCTTTACATTTTATCAAGTCTCGTAAATCAGCTCTTATTTTAATATTATTTGTAACATCCATGAACCGATTCTTGTTTTGTAAATTTCGCAATTTTGACAATATTGCGCAGTTAATTTTTTATTCAAATCAGACATTAGAAGGTTAAATAAATGTTAACTTATCGCCCATCTCCTTCTCCTTCAAAACCTTACACAATTTTGAAAATTTTAAAAGCGTCCAAATAAGAAAATTCGAATTGTGGTCGTTTCACAACTTTTACGTCATGAATGCACATGGTCCATTGAACAAAATGTGAAATTTTAGTGGTGTTCTGATAATTATTTCAAAAGTTCTCTCAATTTCAACTACATGTAACAGTGCAGGAGTAAAGTGTATTTGGCGATGTCGGGATATATTTAACCGTAAAAATAAAGTAGATCACATCAAACTTTTCTGGGAAAAATAGAATCACTGAAATGAGCATAATAATACTTTAAAATGATACTATTAGTATATGAAACGCATGGCTAGCTTTTTAATAAGGCGGGGACTAACGCTTAAAGGTGACATCTCCCCGGATTTCTCACGTCATATACATTAACACTATGGATAAACGGATTGCTTGATAAGGCCATAAGAAGTAGATTCTTTGTTTTGCGTCCTGGAAAAATCCATATCATGCAAGGGTACAAGGAAAGCAAACACAAACTCAAGAAAAAACACAAACTTGTTTGCTGAGAAATGGACATTTTATGGGCATAAAATGGGATGACATCTAGTTGCAGTGATTACAAACACATATCTTAACATTTAGATATACAATATATTTAAACATAGCTATTATTCAAGGGTAAAAAATAAGAAAATACAAAATGCATGCCAAAGTATCAATAACACTGTCAATTTTGACGCACATCAAATTATCCGCCATTTCGTCTGATTCTGATTGAATGAAATGCGATGGTACAATGTACTTTCAGACCCTTGTGATTGCTATTTGAATGTTTTTGTTTTTTTCTGATTTACTCAAAATCGTGCAAGAAAGGGGACGCAAAACAAAGAATCTACTTCTTATGACCTAACCCGGTAGCCCGTAGATTCATTCGCGCATTCAACTGACGGTTTTACCTTTTAACTTTTTATGGTCAACTCATTGAAATATGAATAAAATAGCGACATACACTATTCATATTAAATGAGTTGGCCATAAAAAGTAGCGTCAGCCGGTAGTTGAATTCTCGAATGCTACCGAAATGTTCTTTCCCCATCGAGTTATTAGGTAAATGTTTTCCATTATTTCTACAGTTTTCACATATTAACCATTCATGATTAATTGTTCTGAATTATCTTAATGTAATTACAACATCCATGCACTGTCTGTAATTTAACGTTATTGGAATACAATATTGTCATGGAGATCCATGCTGGCCTTTTAGACCAGGTAGGCCTGGAAAACCGTCTCGGCCGTCTCGGCCAGGGAGTCCTATATCGCCCTTTGGACCCTTTAAGCCTGGTAGACCATCGAGTCCAGGCATTCCCGGTTCACCATCATTTCCTCGATTACCTTGCAAATCAAGTCCAGACACTTGCAATCCCGAACTTCCTCGATCACCTTTTTGTCCAGGTAGTCCCTTTCTCCCTCTTTGGCCACGTCGACCTGCAGGACCAATTTCGCCCTTTCTTCCCGGGTCACCGGCCTCGCCTTTTACCTCACTGGGAACACCAGGTATTCCCGGTTCACCTTTCTCTCCAGGTAGACCCACATGACCCTTTATTCCGTAGCCGGGTTTCCCATCAAGACCTGGTATACCCTTTAATCCGGGAAGGGCGTCGTCACCTCTGATTCCTTTCAATCCGGGTAAACCACTTCTACCGGGTAAACCCCTTTCTCCTCGCATGTGCTTGCATTCGTCGTACACTTCTTTTTTCAGTTGTGCAATGAGTTCATTTAATTCATTTCTTGAGACAAAATGTTCAGTGTTGACCTCGTTCTCTTGGAGACGATCATCGCCTGATTCAGCGGCTATGTAAATGTATAAAGTTGTTGCTAAGATCGCAAAATGAGTTACCGTCCTCATGTTCAGATATTGGACAGCGTCTGTTCTATGAGTGGCAGCAGACTTCAGTGCCAAACTACGCAATATTGTTCTATCTAGCCTATACTGGGTTACATGTACTGAATCTCAGAGTAGTTAAAGTCACAGTCTTACTTTTTACTGCCATTTATTAAGTTTCTTATGAACACGAGAGTACCGACCGGCCACTAGTGCCCTGTGAATACTTATATATTAAGGTATTCATTTGAGACAGTATTTTCAATGTGTTCGATCGTTTGACGTTTCTCTCTCACTGGTTTCAATTCCATATTAGGGAGATCGAGCTACTCGTCTCTAAGGGAACAGGCTTTTACATTGACGTGTACTGTAAATTGTCTAAGAATTAGTTCTTCCCTTCGTATGCCCAGTCGAGTATAGGAAAATGGAAAATGGTTGTTATTAAGTAGAGGTACCATGAAAAAACAATCGAGGAGGGGGGGGGGGGATCCTGGTATCACACGTTCTCTTAAATACATCCCCACTCGAAAATTTATAAACCAACATGTCGAGTATTTTTATTTCGTTTTAAAATATTTTCTCCCCATGTTTTTTCTATAAGTCAAAACTTTTGGGCAGGTGATTTCAAGATAGGTCTGCATCTTTTATTGTTTCTAGGAACAGCAAAACAGAAATCGAAATAAAGTAAATATTTACAAAAAAAATGACATCGCTGCAGAGAGCACTTTCTCAGATTTCGACACACACATGTTCGTGACGTAGTACTATTGTATCGTGTTACGCATTGTTTAGGATAAATGTGCTTACAGCAACCTGATTTGAAAATCATGTACCAAGTTTATTAATGTATGCACAGCATGATGTATTTTAAAACTCGCATTTGGTTTTAAAAGATGGGTTCTCATTCATCACAAAGATGGCACAACATAAACATTTTCATATCAGGCACTTTTATTGTTTTCCTGGCATAACACAATTTGTATGAATATAGTTCTGAGTAGGGATACTAACGGGAAGTAGTCCATGTTTCAAGGACCTCTTATAAAAATACTCACATAGCGCACCCATATTTGACCCAATCTTTACGTATATGCAAATACCGCTTTATTATAAATATCAAAAAGTAAAAATTATTTTTTACTGACCAATATCATTATTTATCTATTTCTAATTTTCGTTTGTCTTTAGGGTCGTGTTGTATAAAAAAGAAAGCTGGAATGTTCTGTAAGGCGTTTGATAAGGATGTCGATTCAAGATGCAAAGGACATTGCCAATGCAAATCAGGTACGACTAGGACTTTATAATGTAGATATACCCATATTTCTCTGTTGATATAGATTATTAATAACTCAATAATGCAGAAACATTCCGGTCATTTGTAGAATCATATCTGACTCTATTTGCAGAAGTAAATCATGAGCACCCAAACTTATGAAATACAAAGATGAAAAAGATGCCTCCATTTTGGTGTAAATGTTATTTTTTGTTGACACGCACGTATGTGAAGCTCCAAGTGTTCTGGGCTACCCAAGTATTCCGACTCTTGCCGAAGTATTCTGACTTGGCCCACGTATTCTGGGTTTACTTATTTTATCAAATACACTCGATACGGTGATTTTCAATTTCTAACATCAATGTTAGGTCTCTACAGAGATGAATGTTGACATTAAGCTAATGAAACCACGGGCTGCCTCATGCACAAAAGGCTTTCCATTTATTCATATTATATAAAACTAACAGGGTACCCATTGGGGAATGTAAAATCCCCGGTTGTTCGACTTTTGCACCATGGGACACTCCTGAGCAATATTTAGACAGAATGTATCAATATATTTAGGCTGGGTCTCAATTTCAGGAATATACCCGATTTTTGGAAAATGGGCCCCGATCTAAAAAATGCGTCCATATTTTTAAAAAGTGTGTCAAAACTTTCAACGAGCCAACATTTTAGGACTCTCTTTTTCATCCTAGCATTTTTCCAGCAACAATTAATTTTTTGAACCCTCTCCTGTGAATTATAAAATATGATAAAATAAGCGATCTCGGAACACTTGTGTTGTCAGAACAGTTGGGCAATAGTCAGAACACTTGGGTAGCCCAGAACAGTTGGGCTTTCACACATGTAATTAACTCTTATGCCGGTCTTTGACATTGGCTACCATCTATAACATTTATCAACCAGGTCGATCGATCAACTAAAAAAAGCCTTTTGAATTAAAATCTATAGTTTTATTTTTTTCATTTAAATATTTGGCACATATCAATATGTAGAACTAAATTGAGTATCTATGTTTTTGGCTTTTGATACTTCCAGGGTTAACGTGTTTCACAGAGCAGAAGAAATGGGGCAGAAGCAAACGATTTGGACAATGCAAAGCGCCCTCTAACGATGTCACAACAGAATTACCAATATCCTATCGGCCCTAAAAGGCCAAATCGATATACTATAGACTTTTACATGAAACATTTTTGATATTTTTTAATAAGTATATTGTAAATAAAGTTTGAGTATGAGCGTTTGTAGACAATATCTGCATATCAATAAGTCATAATATCGATACCATCACAATAAAAAGGATTCATAAATGTGTAATTATGCATAAAGACTTATATCTTTGACTTTTCTACCATGAAATATGTCATTATGTATCAATAATCATGAATATTTCAACCACACGTGTGGAAATCATCGCCTAATGATCTAACTGTGTAAATGGTCTATCTAAGCTATAAATCACAAATATAAGATATGATATCTGTGTTTGCATGAAATATTAGTCGAGATTCACATTCTTGAAGAATTGATACTTTGGAATGAAATCTGCAGGCTTGAAATGTGATATACAGTATTTGAAATATTCAGACTAGTCGATCATATCTGAACTTATTTCGTGATACGTAGCTGGCTGGCTGTGGAATCGCTTCATGGATCATCACGTTTCAATTCATTCACTTCTTGTACTCTTGATGTTGTACGTTTGCCCGTGTTGTAATAGCAAGTAAGAACGTAATGATGCGTCTCTGATTGTATTTAGATGTGATGTCAGTTTACGTTCACATGAATTATTATACTGCTGTAAATAGAAATCGCTCCCGTTGAAATGTTGAATGGCTTCCACTTTCATATGACCATACGACTTCATGTACTAACTGTACTACACGTGTGAATTATTGTATTTGTAAATAAATAAAAATAAAACAATCAAGTCTTCTCTTTTAACATCAATACACACGAGGGAAAAGTCTACCCGCGTATATACAACCTACCGTCGAGCAAAGACCCGAAGATGTCTGAAAATGTAGGGGATAAGTTAATAAACTCCTGTTTTATATTGAATTTCTCAATGTCAGAAATAGATAAAACACAAAATTGTTTGTAACCGATATAGTTGTTGTTCCAGGCTCTCATGGTTAGAGAATAATGAGTACTTAATGCAATATTTACTATCAAATCGCTAAATTCAACTTCTAAATATTAGAATGATGTTTTACATCTTCAATAAGTAAGAACCATGGCTGTATTTACTCCATTTGATTCAAAAATACAATAGGTGCAAATATATTACATTTGTTTCACTGCCATACGTTGCATATCATTGAAATCACCGGTGAACGTTGAAAATGAAAGACCCGATTACAAGTATACCACGAGTACGATTCAATAGGACCCGATGCTACCGCCTGAGTATTCCGATTATACCGTGAGTAAAACCCGATGAGGTAGTGAGCAAGCTTTCGAATGATCATATAATAACATGAAGTATATCACAAATATTCCTGTTAATATGATATAATTCCCGCAGCACTATACGTCAACGTCTGTGTCCCGCGAAGTTCTTTAAAACAATTGAATTCATGCTTTCACTCGAATCACCATAATTTTCATTGTTGATGATATCACCACTTCTATCTGACTATGCTCATAATCCAATGAGTTTGGTAGGTGTTATTTTGTATCTACCAAGACGGTAAACATATGAGAAATAGTTATATATTTTGATTGGTCTAAAATGTGCAAAGTTTACCTGTTATGCTCATTCGCTCTCAATTTTGAATAAAATAAGATATCAGTAGAACGGCTACTAAAATGAAAAAAGATTGACCAGTAGAGATTAGGAACGTGAAACATTCATTTTTTGGATAATAATTGATTTAAATGCAATTCCGCGCCTTTCCTATCCTCCAATGTTGATAGCCTTATTTCTGTTGTGTCAGTCTGGGTCAAAATGTTACAATAGTATTAATAACGAGTAACCCTTCTAATAAAGGCAATTAAATCAAGGTTCGAAAACTCCCAAAAGTAACCCTAACACTATTTCATCATCAGCATGTCATAGACTCGACGATATAATCGGATCTCAACAGATTTTACTCAAGTAATGTTCGGATTCTGAGATCATTTTCTCAAGATATTTTCGGAGCTTTATAATATTACTCGTCGATCACATCGGGTCTGATGTCCGATAACATCGTATCTTTTAGGACAAAGTTTATGTGAAGATTTTGCTGTTCAAAAGTGCTATTTTGACCTAATATTTTGACACTTAATGTATTATGCATATGACATATATTTACCGTACCAAGTATGTCTTATGTATGGCTCATTATCAATTAAAGGGAGTATGAATGAGAAAAACAAATCGAAAACCATTATACGTTTAACTTATCTATTAATTTGGACAAAACAAATATATTTCAACTATAATTTTAGGCCAATTACGCCTGCTAGAACATCTTAGTAACAATTCTAACCATCCAAGGGTATTGATAGTGACATTATATTACCTTTATTGTCCATTTTCCTACGAGATGTACCTTACCAAAAATTGGATTGGCGGTATATTCGTGTCTTACTCGGCGGTTGGTTGTATATACGCGGGTAGACTTTGCCATCGTGAATACATGTCTACGTTAATTACTTAAGCTTTAGAAAAAATAGTTTTGGACATATCAGCCAAAGGACAACCTTTAGGTCAGTTAAAGAGGGACATGGGGTATAAATAGGAGGCAGACTAATGGAACAGCCAAAATAACTGGATTTTTGATATTTTCACAAAGCTGGTCAATTTTCTCAAATTTTATATTGATTGAGAAAATGTATTGCTTCCAATTTTGTTATGTGTATCTTTCAATGTATTGATGTTCTGCAGTTAGATTTTAACTTCATCCTTTTATTGGGTTGTGAAAAGACATTTAAAAACAGAAATAACATTTTTCAAATTTAAAAGTCCTCAAACTTAACCAATCAGAATCAAGTATTAAGCAATGCTGTTAATTAAACTTACTAATCCTGACTTTCTGTACAATGTTAAAGTGTGGATGTAACCTGATATTTTAATGGGAGTTACTAGCAACTTTAAAACCGGCCTTTAAGCTTTAATTACATGATCATTAAGCCCAAAAAATTTGGATATGTCTACGCGTTTTCAGATTACAAACTTGCCAACCTGAAATGAAAAATTTTCGGGAGATTTAAAAAAAATTGCGGTACTTTTACGGGAGTTTTTTCAAAATCCGGTAGTTTTTGCGGGAGTTTTATGAAAAAAAGCGGGAGTTTTTACGGGAGATTTTTGAAAAAACGGGAGTTTTTACGGGAGATTAAAAAAAAGGTATTTTTCGCGGTAAATTAAAAAAAACGTGACTTTTTACGGTTGATTTCAGAAAAAACGAGAGTTTCTGCGGTAGGTTTTGAAAAAACGGGAGTTTTTACGGTAGATTTCTGAAAAACGGGAGTTTTTACGGTAGATTTCTGAAAAAACGGGAGTTTTTACGGTAGATTTCGGAAAAAACTGGAGTTTTTACGGTAGATTTTGAAAAAAACGGGAGTTTTACGGTAGATTTCTGAAAAAACGGAAGTTTTTACTTTAGATTTTGAAAAAACTGGAGTTTTTACGGTAGATTTTGAAAGAACGGGAGTTTTTACGGTAGATTTCGGAAAAACGGGAGTTCTTACGGTAGGTTTCTGAAAAACAGGTGTTTTTACGGTAGATTTTGAAAAAATATGGGAGATTTCAACAAAAATACGGGAGATTTTACGGCCATATTTTTAAAAAAAATTACGGGAGATTTTAGTAGAAATACGGTACGGGAGTTTTTACGGGAGAAAACGGTACGGGAGTTTGTTATTTTTTACGGAAAAACAAAAGATTTACGGGAGATTCCCGTAAAAAATGGGAGGTTTGCAAGTCTGGATTAACTGTTTGATGGATCAATTAAAGGGTGGTTCTTAATATGAAAATCTTGAACTGGTTACTGTTTCGCCATTCTGGATAAATTTTAAGGTGGCCATTTGGAATTTTCGTCCTTAAATCGTGTCTCTAAAGTCCCGTCATCTCATTTAATTTCCAGGTTAACCAGTTGACGGATCAATTTCGAATTTTCATAGATGATTTCTAGTATTAATGACAATTTAGAGCTGATTAGTTTTTTGGCATTCTGGATAAATGTTAAGACAGCCATTTTGGATTATCCGTCCTAAAATCTTGACTGTCAAGTCTTGTCCACACATTTTCAGGTTAACCGTTCGAGGGATCAATTTATAGGAATGATTCATACTATGAAAATCTAGAACAGATTTTCGGCATTCTGCGTTCAAGGGGGCCATTTTAAATTTTCCGTCCTAAAATCTCGTCTGTAAAGGCTTGTCTACTCATTTCCAGGATAACCATTTGACGGATCGATTTCAAATTTTCAGGGATGATTCTTAGTATAAAAATCTCGAACTGATTATTTTTTTTCGGCATTCTGCGTAAATTTTAAGGGGGCCATTTTGGATTTTCCGTCCTTAAATCTCGTCTGTAAAGGCTTGTTTACTCATTTCCAGGATAACCATTTGACGGATCGATTTCAAATTTTCTGGGATGATTCTTAGTGTGAAAGTCTAGAACTGATTAGTTTTTGGCATATTGGGTAAATGTTAAGGTGGCCAATTTGGATTTTCCGTCCTCAAATCTTGACTGTAAAGTCTTGTCTACGCGTTTTCAGGTTAACCGTTGACGGGTTAATTTCAAATTTCACGGATGATTCTTAATATGATAATCTTGAACTGATTAGCTTTTATGCATACTGGGTACATTTTAAGGTAGCCATTTTGGATTTTCCGTCCTAAAATCTTATCTGTAAAGTCTTGTCTACATTTTCCTGGTGAACCAGTTGATAGATCGATTTCAAATTTTCAGGAATGATCCCAAACTACCGACAGTTTTTTGACAGTCCAGGTAAATTTTAAGGCGGCCACATTGGACTTTTGTCTTAAAATCATGTCTTTCCAACTGAATTATTATTTTTCGGCATCCAGGATGAAAAATTTGCAGTATATAGGATCACCCATTGGTTGGGACATGTTGTACACGTTTGTGTTCTTGTTTCAAGCGTGTCATGCTTTTCAAACGGTGTATTTAAAGTGCAGAAAGCGTTACATTTAACTTGTTCATTCCGTTTATAAATGGGTGAAAAATGTGAATTGTGCCACTGCGTATCGGGGCCTTTAAGATGAAGACAAGGGTGTGGAAATATTTATCATGTTCATGTTTTGTTTTCAAAAAAAAAACAATTGGGTCCGACAGAAAAGAGCCGTAGTAATCGGCAGATCGGTTCTTTCGTCGGTTTCTGTCGGATGTTCATAGCAAATTTTATATTTGCTTCCCATCTATCAATATTTTGACAACAATAAACAACTCCGCTTAGAGAATCTATCTGGTTTTCCCAAATAACACCACGGAACATCTATTTTCACACAAAAAGTGTCAACAGGCATTTTCGTGATGCGTGGTCCTAAACTATCACTTTACTTTAACCACATCATAAATCCTTTTAGACACTAAAACCTAAGTATACGTGTTACTGAATATATATTGATTACAAATTAATTGGGAATATGATAGAATTATAGACTTCATAGATCAAACGAAGGGGTAATAATATAAAGATGAGATAATGGCGTGCAAAAATCACGTAAAATCATATTCTTTTAGAGTTTAATCATTTATTAAAATTTGTAGAAGGGAAGTATTGTTATGGAACGATGTTTCATCTGGTTTGGTAATTTGAGACCCCACGTGGCGATGCGGGCCAGATAAAAAAGCGTAAGGGCCACGTTGAGCTCAGTTTAATTTAGAATTGAGGATATAATCTATGATCATGGAAGCACCAAATTTAAAAAGAATAAAATTCTATAATATTCGACTCGAAATTATTAATTTGTTGTCAATTAAATAACACAATAGAATATCACATGGTGGAGCTGGCGGGTAACGATTCCTGTATCTCTCACACAGCATAATTCAATCATAGGTTTTGGTTCGTTTGATAGCTATTTGCATTTGCGGATTTATTAAGAAAAAACGGGTTTTAGCAAGATGTCGTATAGCAATAATATGAATTATTGTATTTTCAATTTAGAGATTAAGAATATGTATGTATGAAAAATTCATACTTAACTACTAACGTGTAGAGGATATTATTACTAGAAAAGATTACAAAAAACATAACACAAAACTGTTTCAATACACTTCCTGTATTTCGATTCAATTCCAACATCAAATTGTTTCATTTTTACATGTGAATTTCTCTATACAAAATTAATTGATTTGAGTCAAACACTTGTATTTTCGATACCGACCAATAGCGTTATTCAATAACCGCTCAAATAAAGTAGATGTATTACACAACAACAAACTAACAACAGGGCAATGTCAGTATATCAGATGTACGACCACGAACGCATTTAACCGTATTTTGAGGAAATTTCAAAAAGCGTCTTTTGAAAAAGCAGTGAATGACGGTTCAATCTGAATGAATTTAATTGCGTTCTGTGATTATACCGTCAAAGTGACATGCATGAGGATCATTGAGAACCTTCCTAAACTGAAACTTTCCATTGTTCTCGTACTATAACGTCGTTATATATCAATGGTACCAATCGATTAAGGAATTCCCAACTTCTCTGTCCTGAAGTTTTTATTCATGCCCGTGTTGCCCCCGATTCAAATGATTAAAGACAGCAATTTACTTCAACAAAATTAAGATATCAAATTATCGTATGTACATTAATATCAGTTTAAAGCGACTGTTAATAATTCAAGTTGGGCTTGAGAGATGTCGCACTAAAAAGAGTTAGCGGAAATGTCATCAAAAGGCTCAATTATTTACAATTTATGATACAATATATTGAACATAAAAACTAATTTACACCTAATCTTAATACACACCTACACGTTTATATACTGACTGAAGTTGCAGCCCCCTTAAAGCATATAAAGCACACCATTAAATAAAACAGCATGATACTATAGATGACGCCATATACACATTCTTTCTGTGGTGGTGCCATCTTTTATCAAATGTAAACACAAAAAATCCACTTTACCTCAGGTCAGTGTGACTTCAGGTTAATGTGACATCAGATCAGTGTGACCTGCAGAATTTAACGTTCAGATTCCTGGATGTCACTTCTATAAGTTGTCGAAGCCTTTTAATGAAAGTGAAGTTAGTGATCGTGAAATGAACACTAGTGCTATCCTGGTTTCAAATGGCAAGATAAGCTGGATGGTACAAAGAATTAATACAATTCAAAAATGTAAGGTAAGTTCCCAATAGATCTTCAGAGAACTGATTTCAAATTGAACTCAGTGATGTCGCTATCTCGAACTATGTCGTATTGAATGAATTAGAAACCCAGCTCATGACAGTCAACTATCATATCATTATCGAGATTATCATATGAACGGATTAGAGTATCGTGAATATAAAGATGTAAAATGAAACTGACGCGAGAACCAATAAAAAGAGATTGTGCTTTTGAAACAACATTCAGCACAAAGTGATATCAATGGCGAACAAAAACTGCCGGTCATTTCAGCGTGCTTATTCATATCCAATTGGTTAACAATTAAAATGATTTTCAAACTGTAAGTTCTTATGATAATAATCTTACCAAAACATGAAAAATGAAAGTACATCAAGAGAGGTTTGAGCCACCCTACATAAATGGGTATTAAAGCGGAAAATAGTAAAACTAGCATCAATAAAGATATTCATAACCATTTAAAACAATAACTATTGTACATGTTAAACAGCATATATAATCTATTTAGGCCAGGATATGATTGATATTCCGATTGAATCGATTTTACTGACATTGTATATTATTTGCAATTCATCTGACATATTTGGTATCTAATTTGTTTTATTTGAATATGAGATTCTTATTCACCACCATAAAATACATATGGTGTTTGGATAGGAGACATTTAAATGAATAACGACGGTATTGAAAATGAAAGTTATGTGGATGATGGAATAAATAGAGGATATCCTATGAGCGTAGCGAGAGAGTGCAGATATCAATATCCATGAGTGGATTAAAATCATATCACGAGTAAATCATAGGATGTTCTTTTTATTCCATAGTTAAAGTCATCATCAGAATCGTCGGAAATTAGGTGATTTAAATCGAATTTTCCAAACGATCCGGCGATATTGACACTTAGCCTCGTTTTGAGTCTGAAGTAGCAAAAATCCATAATTCATAGTATACGGTGTCGTATGTCATGGCTAAAACACCGTATGCTATGGTTAAGTGAAAATTTGTCAAACATATCATATTTTACCACTGATTACAAAAATACCGTTTTTATTTTGACATGTTATCCGATGAATATCATGCTAACTATGGAATAAACATAAACATTTTATGGCTACTTAATAGAAGCGAAACGAGTCCATATTTTTGTGGGCCTACGTGCAACAATTTGAATGTAACTTGTAAAAGCCTCAGTCACATTCACGGCGGTCGTAGCTTCACAAAATCGATATTTCTTTCGATTTGGTAAGGTACGGCCGCCGAACGGTTGCCGTAGATCAAATGTGACTGAGGCATTATTCACGATAGAAAATGATATCGTAATTTGCCACTGCAAAATTCGTTTTCGAAAGAAATCCACTCGGAATGCAACTGCTGCCGTGTCAGCTTCATCGCACGCTGTGACAGCTACAATTAATTGAATGGGATTAACAAGTTCACGGCAAAAGCTTCCCTTTTTAATAAATTGATGGCATGGCATGTGAAAATTTCATCTCTCACCGCCGTACTCACAATAGGCTTTCAATTATGAAATCTACTAAATAGCCATTTATGTTCATTGACTTTGATTAGCTAAGAGATTTAGGAGTACCTACCTCGCTGACGTTTCTTTTTGAATAAATTGCACATTCAACAGTCAATACGAGTCGAAATCCACATTCGACTTTGACATAACTTACACTGTACATTTCATCACTTTGTTTACGTTCTTGTGGAATGAGAAACTATCCAAGTAAAATAATCTATTGTCTTATATGAGATTGATAGGCATATTTACAGGTAAACTTAAAAGTAGCCTGTGTCTCGTTTATCATTCACAGAATAACAAAAATGTAGTTATAGAATAAATTATGGGTAGAGCCCTTCAGCATATATACATTTCTTCAGGGATGGTTAGTTTTTACATTTCCATCCTTTTTGCCCCAGTCACATTTGATCTACGGCGGCCGTAGCTTCACAAAATTGATATAGAAAGTCTACGGCCGGCATACGGCTGTCGTAGATCAAATGTGACTAAGGTATATATGGTCCTCCAGAGATTATGGGCCCCTTCTATATGACGTTCACCTGGTTGATCATAAAACATTAAGAGCTAAATATAATAAGGTCAATGCAAGAATCGATAGGGAAGGGGACCATAATTGGATGGGACCTTAATTACATTTACTTTCTGTAAGTCCGATCTCAATGTAACAATTCCCGGTCACTTGCGTGCTTCGTGATTAAATCACGGGAAGTCCTTCGTGACACTAATGGGACATAGCAAAAGAACTTCACACTAATGTGGCATCCGAATCAGAAATCTTGCCATTTTGAGTTGGAATCATAGTAAACCCGGTGCTTAATCTCCGGGTTTCTTCCCTCACTGGTTTCAAAAATATATCGAGGAATGTCTCTCGAAACTGTTTTGACATGGTGCAGTATAAGATGAAGTTGATTCCATTATTTATGAGTGCAAGGATATCCATGAAGTCTCCGAGAGGGTCATATATTTCTTTGAAGAAATGTGTGTCCAGAACACCTGTCAGAAACATGAGAATTCCTTGCGGCATTTCCGTAATCAAAAACAGAATCACCACCGCCAAGAGCATACGCGTTGTGCGGTTTGTCTTCCTGTCTCTCCGGTTGTCATCATCTGGTTTTACACTTTTAGCGCGGAGGTTTTTACGGCGTTGCTCGGCCTCCCTCATTGACTGTATCAGAAGGAAGCTTAAAACAGTTAGTCCGGCACATGGGCCCAATTTGATGACTATAGCTTGGATCCAGAAATTACCTTTCACGATGACCTTTTGAAGCATTGTATTTTCGGGCATATGTAGCAACCATATTGTCCGATTCAGTTCATCTTTAGTATATGGTACAACACTTAGGGCTACGATATTCGGAATGCAGAAAATAAAAGTTACCAGGTAAACTAACGCAACAGCTAGTTTAGCACGCGGTAGGCTACATAGCAGAGGCCCGTATCTTGGGTACTTAATAAACATAAATCGGAATATGGCGAGCGTGACAGTTAGCCAGATTGCGATACTGTGGACCACCGTACTGAATGCGGCATAGAAGAAAAGAAATTTGGTCGAGCTGAGAGAGTTCTTATCGGCGTCTAATACATTGGCGCTGTGAATGCAATAAAAGAATAAGGCGAACGGGAAGTACGCTAGCATTGTTAGTCCATCTGCGACGGCAAGTGCCGTCAGAATACAGTTTGTGGCACTGATCATGTTCTTCTGGGTGAGAACAACGATATTCAGTAGGTTTGCGACGATACCAAGAATACAAATAGTGGCTGCAATGTAACCATGGTAACGGCTGTACCAATTTTGAAAGTCCTTCAATTCCTCAGCCCCCGAGTAATAAAAAATGCCATTTCCAGCTTCACAGTTTGTGGTACAGGTATTGGTAAATGTTTGGTTTACCTCTTCATAACTTACGTTATTAAGTGTTAAATTCACTTTGTTTATGTGAGTGAGCTGAGTAACCTCCATGATGACAAGTCGTGATAGGATCAGGTAAGATTCAGTTCGTTTTAATATGTTATCTGTCAGTTGAAGTTATACAACTCCCATGGCTCAATGCATAGTTATGGAAGGTGTAATGCGATAGTTTGTATTATCTAATTGCCCTCAGAAATCCAATTATCATGTATGTTATTCTAGCGATGATGGGCCTCGATTTTTTCACCTTACAGCTGTTTACCGTTTTTGAAGTGTTATTATACGTTGAACGTTTTTCGTTCCTACTTAGCCATTGGGCATTGAAATTATGAAAAATACTTTCAGATCATTTCCTCAATGATTCTCTATCTACAATGGCATCAACTTACAACTGAGTTGCCATGGTTACGCCGAAGCTTTTAACTCCGTAGGTAGTCGTGGTAACCTGCATCGGGAATTCCCATTTATCATACTTTTATCCCATAGACGTGTCAATTTAAACATTATATTAATTAATATACTTCAAGACCCTTTTCTTTATTCCAAAGTCCATTTACATAAGCTGTAGATTGCTTATTTAGTCGACGTGGTATCTGACTTCCCTAGGGTCGGTTTACTACGGTTGGATTGCTTGATCATGACCGACGAGACTTCATATTCCTTCTTGATCAAAGCCAATATTTCATATTAATTGATCACGATTGTTCCTTCCTTTTTGTCACTTTATTAAAGCGTCCTAAACAGTGATCGAAAGGCAAACCGCCTAGAACAGCAGAGCCTGAAAATAGAAAACAAACATTTAACAATATCTCTCAATTATTTTTCCAACTCTCTGCCAAGACTTAGAATAGAATAACTAAACCTTGCTATCGATTGTATGATATTCTCGATGATTTTTTGCTTCGATTTGATTCGACACCCACGCTATTTTAATTTGCCTTTGTTAACACCTTCATTATTGCTGGTATTTCCTACGATTTCATTAAACAAACCTACAGGAACACTGTTTGTCTTGATCGCGTGCCCCTAATTTGTGGGGATCATCCGGTCATTATTCCTTTCACTGTGCGTCTCATGCCCCTTTTCATTATGGCTACTGAGTGTATTGTTAAAGTGTATACGTGCGGATAATCTAAACTAGAACTACAGACTATTTTCCAGTACATCGAAGTAAATATATCCATCCGAGCTCATCTAGGCCTAATCAAACATAATTGAGTCGACGCTACTGACTTCTTGTTTGTGCCAGCTCTACCCTAAATGGCCTGGCCGGCAATTAACTATAACCGTATCTATTTAGCAATTGGCGATATACATCTCTAGAATGGGTAAAGTCCATCCTTTCTCCTATTTATGACCAACCTGAATTGACCGAGAAACACTAACCTGCGTCAAAATAATCGAGAATCCTGAACTACTGACACTTGTATCGCCCTCGAGTCGACACTCTCGCTTTTTGTGTCTATAAGGAACAAACAAACAGAAAAACGCCATCGTCTTAATCGGTAGCAGATGTTATTTTGATTGGGGCACAATCAACAATAACAAACTGGAGGTTATTGGAATATTTAAAAGAGTAAAGTACTTATACTAGAATGCTCATTGTCATTGATGGTATCTGGTTTTTAGACAATATTTAAATTGGTACGTAAACACCGCTTTTTTATATCCATACTTGCGTTTCAAAGGACGATTCTCGGTTTGGAGAAGAGTCTCCTGGGCTAATATTTTTTTTCATGAAAAATATAGAAATATTACCCAAATTAAACTATGAATATTCAAAAGAGGACATTTAAATCTATAAGATGTAAAAATATCAAATTGGTCTGGAGCAGGGATAACGCTCAATTTTACCGATTTTAATAAAATACAAGTCTCTATTTGGGGAAAGAAGTTCATCAGTGTACTGCGCTAATATTTTTTTGAGAAAAATCTAGAAATATTACCCAAATTAAATTATGACTATTCAAAAGAAGACATTCAAATCTATATTATGTAAAAAAATCAAATTTGTCCGAAGCAGGGATAATGCTCATTTAGATTGATGAACTTCGTTCTCCAAACCGAGAATCGTCCTTTGAAAAGGTTCTGATGTACACACTGAATCATATGCACACTCCATGCTTGTACTGTTCTGCAATTTGACTGAGGGACTAACGTTCCGAAAACTCATGGACGTACTTAAAAGGGGATTTCAACTACTTCGATCAAACTATCATACCGTATATATTTGGAACGAGATAGACTCACTTAGCTACCAAATTCAGCCAAATTCGTCATGTTAAGATGTACGTATAAACAAACATGTGTCCTCATTTTACTTGTATTCGCGAATGCAAATAACGGCTAACGGATACCGGATTAACCTACTATGTTATGACAAACTCATTTAAATATGAATGGAATAGTGGCACGCAGGTACTATATATATTTAAATGTGTTGCCAATAAAATAGTTAGTTAATCCGGTAGCCGACAGGCGTTGGATGCATTCGCGAATACAAGGCCTAGGTTAGCTGGTATTCGCGAATGCAACTTTTGGCTGTCGGCTACCGTACTACTGGGCAACTCATTAAAATATGAATTGTACCTGCCACTACTCCATTCATATT